TCTCAAATAAATAAATAAATAAATAAATAAATAAAATCTTTAAAAAAAAAAAAAAGCAGCACCACAAAAGGTGGTTAGACTCGAAGATGTCTGGGGAGAAGGTGGGAGCAGAGCCCTGAATCCTGCATCTCAATCCAGTGGGCTCCCCAGATGACCCAGATGAGTCACCTACTTTGCACTGGGGAAAATTAGGTCCAAGATTCAGTGTCTGCTAGATTGATGTGGGCTGGAAATCAGGCACCCATGGGGGTTGGGCCAAGGGTGAACCAGGCTCCAGTGGAAAAGGCTGCAGATTTCTTGCTAAAATCAAGGAAATATTTTTCAGTGCAGCCATCCCCCTTCTTCTGGGCAGTGCCATTCTAGGGCAACAAAACTAATATCTACTCTGGGTTCCAGCATGTAGTGAAACGGAGCTCCTTAGTGTAGCCTTAGCTATGATCATCCTAGCTATGATCAACTGTTGGGTCCCCAAGGACCCCACCTCCTGGTGGCTCAGCCTCTAATAAAGTGAAGGGACTTAGAGTCCTTTCTTCCAGCCCAGGACTCAAAAGGAGAGCATACACATTTGTGTATTCATGTTCCATCATGAATGCTGCCTCCCTACTGCTGCCACTCTCAGGGATCAGGTCTAAGCATGGGTAATCCCTCCATGGAGAGCCCTCCAAGTGAGTCTGTCCCTGGTTAGGATTTGTTACTGTAAGGTAGGCAAGAGGCCAAGAAATTACATCTAATGTAAAAGAAGTCTGGCTAGAAGAATGAATTCCAATGAAGATCAGTGGTGACACCTACATCCAGGTAAATTGGACTATATAAAAATTAAAAACTTCTGTGTGTCAAAGGACACACTGAACAGTGAAAAAGCAACCTATGGAAAGCGGGGGAGGAATTGCAAATCATATCTGAGATGGGCTAATACCCAGAATATATAAAGAACTCCTACAACTCAATATGAAAAAACAAACAACATGATTAAAAAATTTGCAATGGACTAAATAGACATTTTTCCAAAAAAGATATAAAAATGGCCAACAAGCAATTGAGAGATGTTCTACATCACTATTTACCAGGGAAATGAATATTAAGAATACAATGAGATACTACCCACACCCATTAGGATGACTACTGTTAAAAAATAAAAACAAAAACAGAAAACAAACGTTGGTGAGGGTGTAAAGAAGTTAGAATCCTAGTGCACTGTTAGTGGGAATGTAAAATGGTGCAGTTGCTATGGGAGACAGTATGATGGGCCCTCAAAAAATTAAAAATAGAATTACTGTAAAATTCAGCAATTCCACTTCTGGGTATCTTCTCAAAAGAAGTGAAAGCAAGAACTTGAGCAGATATTTGTGTATTCATGTGCATAGCAGCATGATTTACAGTAGCCAGAAGATAGAAACAACCCAAGTGTCCATCAATGGATGAATGGATAAACAAAATGTGTTCTATCCATACAATGGAGTATTATTCAGTCTTAAAAAGGAAGGAAATTCTGACACATGCTACAACATAAATGAACTTTAAGGGCATTATGCTAAGTGAAATAAGCCTATCACAAAAGGATAAATAGTGTATAATTCCACTTATATGAGGTATCTAAAGTAGTCAAGTCATATAAAGAGAAATTAGAATGGAGGTTGCCAGGTGCTAGCAGGGAGGGAAAATGGGGAGTTGTTGTTTGATGGGGACAGAGTTTCAGTTTGGGAAGATGAAAAATTTCTGGAAATTTGTTTCACAACGTGAATGTACCTAACACTACAAAACCATACACTTAAAATAGTTAATATTGTAAATTTGATGTGTATTGTACCATGATTAATAGATAGACAAAGAGACATAGAGAAAGAGATGATAAATAGGCAGGTAGGTAGGTAGGTAGATAGAGGTAAGTGGTATGCATAAAAGCATCTGAGTCTGCACCTAGAGCTTCTTGCCCACTAATTAACACTTGTCCTTTGGGTTCCTAATCAACTGGTGGTACCCACTCAAGTATCTGCTCCTCCAGAAGATCCTCTGCAAATCCCCAGATGTAGCCAGTGTTTCTGTCAAGACCCTGCTACTGGCAAATGGAAACATAGGAGTTTGGTGTGTTCGCTCATTGCCCCAGTGAATCAGTATTTTCTGAAAGCCTCCTCTGGGCCAAGCATGTCCCCGAGGCTACAGACAAAGCAGTGAGGGAGAGAGTGTCCTGGGCCTGCCCTCAAAGAGCCCACAACCTGGAGGGGAAACCAGTTCTGTCAAAACCAAACACACAGCATGATAAGAGCCAGAATATAGACTCGCAAGTGCTGTGGGAGTCTAGAGAGGGGGTGACTGACTGCCTAACTGGGAGCCTTCTCCAAGAAGGTGGTGCCTGAGCTGAGTCCTAAAGGACTCAGTGGGGCTTAGGCAGGCAGCAGAAGACAGCAGAGAGTGTTCCAGGCAGAGTGAGTCCTGGATAAGAGGAAAAAAGAGGGGAGAAAGGGAAAGAATGTGAATAGCAGAGCTGAGCAATAACCACAACTAGTTCAAATGAATTTATTTGACTTGTAGGTGCCTCTACTGAAGATGTGAACTTGAAGAGTCTCCCACCCACTACCAGCCTCAGGGCTTCTTCAGTAATGCTCTGTATAGAGGGGTGATGGCCAGAGCTCCCACCCACCTCCTTCTCCAGGTGGCATTTCCTTGTTCCTCACTCCCTGCCCTGGAATGGACCAGGAACCAAGAGAATAATGATCTCTCTGGTCGAGAGAAGAAGACTACAGAGACCTCACTCCTGGCTGGCAACATTCAGATGGATGAACAGAGCAGGACTTGGAGTGCCTGATGGAGAGGCAGCCCTGAGTGAGCACACTCCTACCTGCCACTTTCCTTTCCCTGCCTTGAGAGATAGACACAGTACCTATGATAACTGTCTGCAGTCATTTCTTGAACTACATACATGTGCAGGGAAATAGAGATATTCAGAACACATATTAGAAAAGTAAGGGCCAGAACCAAGTGGGAAGCAGCTATGTGCAAAAGAGCCTGTGGAGAGGGCAGATCTGCAGTAGGGTGCACAGTATCCTGCAGATGGGCTTCTTCAGAGCAGATCATTGCCCAGGCTTCCAGGCCCAAGAGAGACCCCTTCAAGATAGTTCAGCTGCTCCTCTCTTCTTTCCTCAGACTTGGACAAGCTAAAGCTTCTGGAAGCTGAGCCACCATGGTCTGCACTGTGCATAAGCTTGGCTATTAGCCGGACTTGGAGGAGGGCTCCTAGAGGCTTCAAGGAGAATTCAAGAGGGCAATGCATACAATATGGACACCTGCATGGCTCTTCTAGTTCCTGGGGTCAAGGCCAAGGCTGGGAAGGCAGTTGAGCCCAAGCCCTTATGGCTCATCAGCAGCAGCTGGCTCGGGGCTATTCATCCCATCTGACAGGTAATCATCCATATTGTTCTGCTTCATCTTGGTTTCCAGAACTGTAATGCGCTGCTTGAGTTTCTGCTGGGCTCCTGTGTACTCAGCCAGCAGGCGGCCAAAGCGAGTGTACAAGGTCTCCATGTTGGTCTCCAGCTGCTCTAGCTTCTCTTGTACATCTACTTCCATGCTGGCAGCCACCTCATTCTCATCCAGCAGCCCCTCCTTCATCAGGATCTCCCGGCCCCTCTCCTCCAAGACCTTCTTGGCATCAGGATACTCAGTCACAGCTTCCATAAGATCATCCTTGGACAAGCAAAAGAGATCTGAGTAACCAAGGCTACGGATATTGGCTGTGCGTCGATTGCCCATTTTGCTGCCCTTAATGTTAAGGATACTGATCTCTCCAAAGCAACTCCCAGCCGAGAGAAGGGCATATTGAGTAACACCATCATCAGCCACTACTGCCAATTTGCCTTCCTTGATTATGTACATCTCCTTGCCAATATCCCCCTTGCGGCAAATGTAATCTCCAGGGCTGAAGACCTGAGGACGGAGCTTCAATACCAGCTCCACCAGCAGGCCAGCCTCACAATCCTGGAAGATACGCACTTTTTTGAGGGTGGACAGATGGACATTGATGGCTATCTCAGCCCTCAGCTTGGCTGGCAAGTTCTTGAGAACTTCCCGTTCATCCACACTCTTCTTATTGGTCCACAGGTAGTCAAACCATTTAATGACCTTGGCTTCCATCTCCTTGCTGACCTTTCGGAACTGCATGTAATGTTTGACAGCATCAATCTTGGCCTGGAATTCAGCCCGGGTGGCATTCATGTTGGAGATCATGGAGCCCACGTTTCCCACAATGGTGGCAAAGATGAGGACACCAATCAGGAAGTCAAAGATGACAAATAAGTACTCCTCATCCTTTACAGGGGGTGGCGTCTCCCCAATGGTGGTAAGTGTCAGGGTAGACCAGTAAAGGCAGTAGATGTATTCCCTAGCCAGGTAGCCATACTCAGGGTCAGTGATGTTGGGATAAACCCAGGTGTCAACCCCAAAGCCAATGGACTTGGAGATGGCATAGTAAATGCAGGCATTCCAGTGGATGATGACCAAGATATAGAGGACCAGGTTGCTGATTCGGAAGATGTTGGGGTAACTGGTACGTGTCTCAGTGCGGTCAAAGAATTCAAACATGCGGGCAAAGTGTAGCAAGCGGTTAAAGCGCAGCTCAGGGCTGTGGATGCCCACAGCAAAATAGATCAGGTCCGTGGGAATGATAGAAGCCACATCTAGCTTGAACTGCAGGGTGTGGATATAGTTGTCCCGCAACTTCTTAGGATCTTTGACCAGCAGCCCTTGCTCCAGAAAACCTAGTAGAGATGCAAACCAGTATATCAGCTCTGCCCTCAGGCCTGTCCCTCCCAATAGGCTAATGCTCAGCAAGGGACAAACTGCACATTCATCCCTCCTTCCCAAGGAGAGGTATAGGAAACTCACTAGCAGAGCTGGCCTGAAGGACTCTAAAAGATGACCACCAGGTTTGAACCTCACTAAGCACATGGGGACTGTGAGGTTCAAAGAGGAGCAGACACCAACTCAAGTCCCAGCTAGGCAGTTGAGTCTAACACAGTGTCAAGAGGGCTTCATAAAAATGTGGACTCAGGACTTTGGACCTATGGGTGATGCTCCTGCATATGCATCTCAGTTGCTCACTTACCTGTGCGCAATCGGATGAAGAGGTCCGTGATATACACTACATCTGAGAAGTAGTCCAGCACCAGCCACACTAGGTAGTAGCCTTTTTGTAGGTCACTGAAACAGGCTCTGCAGGAAGACAGGACTGGACTTCACCCTCAAAGTCAGCCAAGGCCCTCTGGAGGCCTCAAACTGAGTGCCCACTGAGCACAGGGCTTGGGATGGCTACCAGGGACACTGATCAATCACAGTCAGTCTAAAGTCATGAAGAAACTTACTGACAAGCAACTTCTACTCCAATCCTTATTATTACATAGACATCCTTAAACAGACATCCACACTGACCATTACTTGTCTCTCATCCACTGGACTATGAGTACCAAGAAGGCAGAGACCACCTCTTAGTCATTACTCCATACCCTATGCCCTAGTCCAGAGCACCAGGATTTGACAGGTGTGAGTTGAATGAAAAATGAGTCATTGGAAGTATGAATTATAATACACAGCTGAAAAGCCTCCATACCCATCTCTGCAACATACACCTATTGAGAACCCAACACAGACCACTGGCCAATCCAGGTGAGAGAGGAGAGAGTAGCTGGGCTTAACCGAGAGGCAGTGGGAATGAAGAGAGGTTGGAGGCTGCAGGAGTTTTAGGAGGAATTGACAAGACTTGGTGACTGAATGGGTAGGAACCTAAAGAGGGAGCCGAATAAGAGAACCCAGGATGATGACCCAGTGAGTGTACTAGTCAAAGGGAAGAGCAGTTAATTCTGACTACTTGGTCACATTTCAAATAAAACCCCAGCCACCTCCACTGGTGCACAAAGCCTAGAGAACAGTCCTGTGCCTGCCTGATATTCACTTGAAGTCCTCCAGCCACACTAGGCCATCCTGAGATGGGGTCTTAGCATTTGTTCCTCCTTCCCAGAATGTTCCTTTCACCAGCCTCAGGCACCTAAATAACTGATTCCCTCTCACCATTCAGGTCTCAGCTAAGGTGTCACCTCCTCAGAGAGGTCTACACTGACTGCCCTTTCTCTAGTAGCTTCCTGCCTCAAGTCCCTTAGGCATTTGTTTTGTTCATGTTTACTGCCAGTGTCTCCCACTAGCCTGAGAGCTCCAAGAGAGCAGAGACCATGTGTGTCTTGTTCACCGCATTATCCCCGGCACTTAGCACAGAGCCTGGCATCCAATGGGTGCTCAGTCAAACCCTTGCTGAATGAATAACTGAAGTGGGGGATGGGATGGGGTGGGAAATGATGTCAAGGAAAGCTACCTGTAGAGAGTGGCTTTGGATCTGAAACTGTAAGAAGAATCTCCATAGGCTTAAAATGGGGAAAGGGAATTTTCTCTTGAGGAAACAGCATGTTATGATCCAAGAGTAGTGAGTACTGGGGCTGGGGTATGTCCAGAAGGTGGAACTAGAGAGAAGGCCAGGTCCAGAGGGCTGTAAAGGACACTCTGAGGGCTTCAATTTCATCCGGTGAGCAATGGGGAGCCATTGAAGGGTTTGTGAGGAGGAACTGACATAATCAAATATCAGTTTCTAGCAACCACACTAGTTGCAAGTGTGAAGGATGCATTGGAGGGGGCAAGAGTGCCTACAAGAAATGGCTGCAAGACTATTGTAGTTATCCCAGGGAGAGAGGAGGGTGGCCAGGACAGTATTGGTGTAGATGGAGAAGTAAGAAAAGATACCAGGAAAGGATAGACAGGAAGCTTTGATAGCATATTAAGTTGGGAAGTAGGGGGCATTGGGAGTTAATAAGGCAGAGGGAGGTGCCATTGGCAAACAGGGAATCCAGAAAGAAGGCTGGGTTGGGTGAGCTCTGTATACACAGCTGGGACTGGTGTACTCTCAACCCCAAGGCCTGGGCACTGGGATGCTTTGGCCACCCCCTCCCAGATCCCTCCCTGCTCACCTGGCCACCAGCAGGCACCAGTTGTAGAGGACAAGCATAGCAATGACAAATAGCCAGCAGTAGTACCAGTCCCCAGCTGGATCCAAGACAAATAGTTCAAATTTCTTCCTGAGGAGACAGACAGAGGCCAGGCTTGGGGACTAGGTCCTCAGCATGGCAGCACCCCCAGTTCCCAGAGGCCAAGGGTCCTTTAAAAAGTAATTCTTAAGAGGATGTGCAAGGTAAAGACTGGGTTGGCTCAGGGCCCCATTTTCAGGGAGCCACAACTTGGTACTGGGCATCTGAGTATAGCTCAGATGGGCAAGGGTCACCCTTCTTCCTATTTTAACCCCACACAAACCCATTGGTTCTCATGCCTTCTGGAGGTCGCTTGCCCATAGGGCAGGGCATGGCCAGGGGCAGTCTTTTCATTGGGGTGGGTCTCGGGGCCTGGGGAAAGACTTCTGCAGGATGGTAATAAGGGCTCAGGGCTTGTTCCCACATCTCTCCTGGGAAGAGAGAGGCACTCCAAGAAAGTGAGTGCCACGTGCTTCCTGCCCACCCCACCCTCCCTGTTTGGTCCCTGGTCTCCAGCTCCCAAATCGCTTTCCCAGATGCTACATCCTATCTTGGCAAAAACTCTTTTCCTCCACTGTCCAGAAGTGGGGAATGTCGGCTTGGCCAGACATTCCCAGTCGCCAGTTCATTCCTCAAAGAACAGACCCTCCAGCTCCACCTTCTCCGCCCTCCCCACTCCCTCCTGCTCAGTTGTTCCCAGGCCTTCCCCAGCCAGCCAGACCCCAGTATGGCCTCCTCAAAGGCCCACCTCTGTACCGACTTTGGCGCTGGTGTAGGCATACTCTCAGCAGCACTCCCTAATTGCACCCTTCTTTGCATTTACTGACTGCTGGAACTGAGACTGGGGTTGGCACACATCCAGGTGCCCTTGCTTTTTGCTTCATGAGCAGCAAGAGGACATCTGGCAAGGGGCAGCTAGGGGAAGAAAAGCCACCAGGCGCTCCCATGGTAATTGGCCCCTGGATGTTGGAAAAGCTGTGAACTAGAGTTAAAACCATAGCAGGTCTCCCCTGCCAACCCGTTTGCCTGCCATGGTAGGGCTTGATATAGACCCCAGTCTTCCTCTGGCAGTGGCATAAGAAACCCCACCAAGCCCTACAATTGCATGCTTGAGAGCCCTTCTAGTCCTACAAGCTGGACAGCTATACTTGGTGCCCTTGTCGCCTTTGCCATCCCCTTGCTGTGTCATCACAGTCTGGAGCTCGGGCCCACGGAAACGCTCCAGGAATGAGTCAGGTCGCAGTTCCTCCTCACGAAAATTCTTGTTGGCCCACTCTCTAATGATCCCCACCAGGCGGACAATCCTAGAGATGAGAGGAAACATGAGCCAGAGAGGAGAATCATGCTGTTCAGAAAGGATGTAGGCCCAAGAGTTCACTATCTGGTGAGGGAGATGGAGAACGGACCTTGGAAACAGGCCAGTCTATGATGTCTGCCATGTTAACAGTTGGGATGGGGGCCAGCACTGAGGGCAGGGGCTGGGGTTCAGGTATGACTCTGAATGCAGCCTGAGGGGCAAGGGGTTGCTCTGAGAAGACTTCCTGTCAGAGGTGCCATCTCAGTTGATTGTGGAGAATAAATAGTGGTTTCCAGGGCAAGATAAAGGTTGTGCTAATGGAGGGCAGACCAGGAGGAATATTGATCCAGGTTTCCTGAGACCTAGGCTGCAGATCTCAGGACCCTCTACATAGACCCCTTTGCTGGGAAAGATTCCTCCCCCTTTCCCAATGCTGAGACAGACAACTCTGAAGGCAATACTCCACTGACCACTCCCAGCTTGCTCACAGGAACCTCCTCAGGAGAAAAGTGCTTCCCAGGGGTCTTAGAAGAAAGGTTCAGTGGGACTGAGAGAAGGTGAGTTATGGTAGTCACTCTGACAGGCCTCATGGGCAGAAGCAGGTAGCAGGAGGGCAGTGGTGGAACCCACCTGCGGAAGCCACCCCTACCCTGCTGGGGGGCATCCATCTCCGCCAGCCTCTGCAGTTCTGAGGAGGTGTCATCGTCAGCTGCAGACTGTGGCCTGTAGAGGAAGAAGCAGAGCTGACCAGGGTTTCTATGGGCATACCTTGTCTCCTATCAGCACTTTTCTCTCCCGGGAGGTGCCTAGAAATCCCATAGCCCCTTTTTAGAGGGTATCCTTAAGCCAAAAGATGGTTTGCTCTTTGATAATGAGGCAGAGCTGGGAGAAAGTAGAGGCCTCCAGGCCATCTCTGAAATGATCCAGCCTCAGCAGACTCACCTGCTGCTGGTCCTGTGGTCATCTTTGCCACTGGCCTTGATGACAGGAGGTGCGTGGTGGTTGTGGTTATTGGCTGGGGAACTCTTCACACCATTGGATTTTTCTGTCATCCTCCATGTACAATGAGTATCCTCACCTGCCAGGGAGATGGCCAAGAGGAAGGTCACAAAGGATCTTGGATACCATATAAGGCAGAGGAGGTGCAAGTGAGCAGTGAGAACAGAACCAGGGCTCACCTGGCAAACCCCAGCATTCTTGGGTACTGCTATGGCAATGCCGGACAGGGGGATTCAGCATTGCCTAAATACCAGGCTCTAATTTTTTTTTTTATTTGAGACAGAATGAGAGAGAGAGAGCACATGAGAGCGGGGAGGGTCAGAGGGAGAAGCAGGCTCCCCGCCGAGCAGGGAGCCCGATGCGGGACTTGATCCAGGGGCTCCAGGATCATGACCTGAGCCGAAAGCAGTCGCTTAACCAACTGAGCCACCCAGGCGCCCAATACCAGGCTCTAAACACCAAGAAAATGAAGATGCTGTCTCCACTCTGCCAGGTAATTTAAAAGGCAAACAACACTAAATAATTTGCAAAATGTGCTTATTTTTCTTTCACCCCAGTGAATTTTTTGACATATGAACTATCAAAGCTAAAACAAAACAAAATGGATTAAAAAAAAAAAAAAGATGGTATGCCTGGGCAGCACAGTCAGTTGAGCATCCAACTCTTAGTTTTGGCTCAGGTTGTGACCTTGGGGTCCTGAGATTGAGCCCCGAGTTGGGCTCCACACTCAGCATGGAGTCTACTTAAGATTCTCTCTCCCTCTCCCTGCCCCTCCCGCTTGTGTGCTTTCTCTCTCTCTCTCAAATAAACAAATTAATTAATTAAAAAATACTGTCTAAGGCATCTTCTGGTGCCCTGGCTTTCCAGATGTCTGGCACATGCTTAGGATGCTGAGCACCTCCAAACCAGCCACTGTCCCCAAACTCCTGACCCATGGGAGGAAATGTATCTCCTTGGCCCAAAGCAGTTGCCTCTCCACCACTCCCCCCTGCTCTTTGGTTCTCCTGACCCAAGACCACCTCAGAGCTCATGCTCCTCAGGTGGGAGTTCATCTCTCATTGACTTCTTCAACCAGTGGTACTGTCTCTGGCGCTCCTTCCTCTCAGCTCTAGTCACATTCTTCCCAGTACCCTCCAAGTAATGTTGCATAAGCTGAGAAACAAAGAGGAGCCCAGGGTTGGAGCAGGGAGTGAGGAGGAGAGAAGGGAGAACTCCCATGGGCTCCATAGGCAGTAGTACCAGTCATATGACTTTCTCCTTTGGGCTACAGGGAGCCTTGGAAGAGGTGAGCAGGACCATGGCTAGAACAGCATTATATTCTAGAAAGATCCTCTGGCTGCTATGTACAGACTGGATTATATGGGGAGCAAGATTGGAGGCAAGGTGGTAGGGAGAAGGCTGAAGAAGATGGTGCCAAAGGAGCCCAAGACAAGTGGGCAGTGTGGAGAACTATTCAGGAGGGAGAAAGGACAGGACTCAGAGATGGATGGGGTATGGGGAGCACTGGAGAGCAAGTGGGTGGGATTACACAGAAAGAAAATACAGACTGAGGGACCAGGTCAGAGCTCTGGAGAACCCCAGAGTTTAAGATATGAGTAGAGGAGGAGGTATTCACAAAATAGACTAAGAAGGAGCAACCTGAGAGGGAAAAATCCTGAAGAGAGACAGGTGATTACATTCACTCTGCAACGTTTCTTGCCATGGGGTCAGGGAGGCTGGGGAAAGAGATTCAGAGCAGCTCTTCCCTGCTCAGGTTGGTCAGCATGTCCCACCAGATTTGATCAGAAATGGTCAGCACACACCCCGCCCCCAGGTTGCCTATGGCCCCTACTGCTGAAACCCTGCCACACTCCTCATCACCTCATCCCCCCCATCTACCCGTTCCAGCTTCCAAAGCGGTCACCATGGTGATGGCAGACACACCAAGCTCTATGGTGAATGGTAATAACAAGCAGCCTCAGAGCTGCTCGCTTGGTGCTCTCTGTGGGACTACAGCACTGGGATGCTAATGAGGGCACCTGAGGGATAAGAACCAGCATCTCTGAGTCCCTGTTTAGACCCTAGAGGCAGCAGACCATGGAGACAGAAAGTTCCAGGCAATGCAAACAAAGGTGGTACCACTCACACTGATCAGAGTTGGCCTCAGTGGAGCACTGTTCAGTGAATGAATAGCAGGGGTACAGGTGGGGCAGTAAAGGGCAAGTCCTTTGCAGGGATGGAAGAGACACTGGTGTGAGGAGGCTGGACCCGGAGTGGAATGTGAGCAGAGGAGGCCAAGCCAACCCAGGGAGGCTGCAAATACCAGAAGGAGGACTTGAGGCAGCCTCTCACTGATAAAGATCCAGTGCAGGCCCTGCCGACCACCACTTGGACCTCTTCCTTACTAATCATCCCTGATAGCAGTGGCCCTCAGCCCACAATAGAAATAACTGTGGGGGCACATGGCAACATTTATAGCCTCTCTAAGGTTCTAGCACCAAGACAGATTCTTCTCCCATTATTCCTGCTCCTTCTCTGCTATGAACAGTCCCTTCCTTCCGTCTGAGTGTCCAGCAGCTGCCCTGCCACACACATTCCTGTTCATCAGAACCACCCCCTCAGGCTGCTTGCCAGGGAACAAAGGCAGGCAGCTATCTCTTGGCACTGTAGGCAGCTAGGCCAGTGGTTCTCAGCTGCACACTCTCCAAGAAACTTCATCTAGTCCTAAGGCTTCCATTACCATCATGTCCCAAATTAAGGTCCCAATTCAGGCATCTCTCCCAAGATGCCCACCCATATCTCCAGCTGCCTGGTAGACATCTCCTTTGAGGCACCTCAAATGCAACATAACTAAAACTAAACTTGATACTTTTACCTACAAATTGGCTTCTCCAAGTTACCCATTTCATAAAGGGGGGCTGCCCTCTACCCAGTCATCCAAACCAGAAACTTGGATGTCAACCATAATTCCTTATTTCCTTCAATCATCATACCCAGACAGCCTCTGTCCTCAGTCAATTGTCCCCCAAAAGTGTCAAAGATCTGTCCATCTACTGCCCTCCATTCCCAAGGCCCTGGCCTGGTCTCGAGCCTTGACTGTTGCTCTGCAGACATGCTACAGCAGAGTCTGACTGCCTCAATCCTCACCAGGCTCTGGAATGGAGGGGAGACATGGACATCATCAGGGTTTGCTGGGAGTTAAAGCTCTCAGAGGGGATGAGAGCAGAGAAGGAGGCTGAGGATAACATTCTCAAGACCAGCAAAGGTGACATGTGGCCCAAGGAGCTGAAAGAGTGGGGGAAATTGGTGACCTTATCAAAAGCAGCCTCCCATCCTTCTCCCCTCTAGCAGCTATTAATTTGTTTTCTGTATTTACAGATTTGATTCTGCTGGTTGTTTGTTGGTAGGGAGATGGGCAAAATGGGTGAAAGGGGGTGGGAGATACAGGCTTTCACTTACATAATTAATAAGTAACAAGGATGAAAAAGGTACAGTGTGGGGAATATAATCAATGGTATTGTAATGGTGTTGCATGGTGATAGATGGTAGTTAAACTTGTGGTGAGCACAGAATAACATAGAGAAGTTGGATCACTATGCTGTACACCTGAAACTAATGTAACATTGTGTGTCAACTATACTTCAATTTTCTATTTTAAAAAAAACCAGCCTCAAGGAGTAGTGGTAAAAGACAACATGTTTTGCAGGGTTTCATAATGAGTAGTAGGTGAGGAAAAAAAGATATGAATATGTCTAACTCTTTCCAGAAGCTTGACTGAGAGAGAAAGGAGAGAGAGTAGAAACTCGAGAATGTGGGGTTGCAAGAGGTTCTCTGTGGTGCTCCTGTTATTCTTTTAGTGAGATAATAAAGCAGGTATAAAAGTTCTGAGGAGGGATTCAACAGATAATGAAAGTATCTGTGCATTTGACCAACTGCAGGGGGAGCCTGATAGATTCCCTGGGTTGAGAAGACAGACAAGAGAATCCAAGGAGACCAAAGCCAGCTGGAGTTTGCAGAACAGAGCACTGGGGAAGAGAAAGTTGCACAGAGAGAGAATTCTGGAGATCTGCAGAGTCCCTTTCAAGTTTTCAGCTGAGCATTTATCAACACACACCTATGAGGAAGGAAGTTATCCATGGCTGGGGAAAGAACCATTCCAAAAAATTACAGGTTACAGTTCCCAACCCTAACACAGGGCTTGGAATAGTGTCTGATGCCACCAACTAGACTGGAAAACTTAATAATTCATGGGGTATCTGGTGGTGTATCCAGAAGGGTCCTGCTACTGTAGTGGGGAATAATTTGTTCCTAGACTGAACACTGTTCTGGTCCCACTGAAAAAGTCTGAAAAGCAAGACTCAAAAGGATCAAACTTTCCAAATAAGTTCACTTCATCCCAGAGCAAGACTCAAAAATATCTTTTAAAATAATAAAAAAGTATCCAGCATCCAACAAGGTAAAATTCACAATGTGTGGCATCCACTCAAGAATTACCAAGCATATAAATAATGTCTCCATAATGAAGAGGAAATGATCTATTAATTAAAACACACCCAGAACTGATACAAATATAGAATTACCAGACAAGGTTGTTAAAACAGTTAATATAACAAAGATAAAAGAGAATGATAAAAAGAAAAATCAAAGCACCATTGAGCCGTGGGACAACTGCAAGTGGCTGCATATAGGTGTTGGTGAAGTTCCTAAAGGAAGGGGAGAGAGAAAAATATATATGAAGAAAAAATGGCCAAAAGTCTTCCAAGTTTGACAAAAACTATTAAGCCCACAGATACAAGAAGCTCAATGCTTCTTTCTAAGCATAAGAAACATGAAGAAAACTACACCAAGGCACATTATAATCAAATACCCCAAATCCATTGATAATGGGAAAGCCTTAAAACTAGCCAGAGAAATAAAACATATTATGTACAGTCACAAAAGTAAGGATGAAATCAAATGTCCAATAATAAAGGTAAGGACCTGATGGTAATAAGGAAAATCCTTCTGCTGAACTTCAGGGTTTCCTTCCAACTTCCAACTGGACATTACTCTCTGGCTACCCTTGGACAGGTGCAGTTCATCTTG